TGATGCTTTGGGTTAAAAGAAATGATTTCAAACAAACAAAAAACAAAAACAAAACCCCCTCACCTTTTCATGTCATATTTCCAGTTCAATACCCAGTCTCAAATTCCAGGGAATCACCACCCCTTTTTCCTGATGGCTCCTCAGATTTCCATTAGAACCACTCAACCCCCGGGGTAGAACTTCAGTCAATACTCTGCCATTGACATGGTACAGGATTCCACTGATGGAGATCTCTCATAGCTGGCCCCTCTCTATCCAACCCCAGTGCTAACCCGCCACGTTTGGCACTGGTCAATTCTCACTCACCCCTGGCACCTTCTCAGCTGGCCTCTGGTTTCTTTTCTCTGGTTTCTATCTGGATATCAACACTTAGTTATGATACACACTCTTGCTGAAAGCATCCTAGGAGGCCTGCCTTGCCCTTCTGGGTCCTTCTTAAAGTGGCTTCAAACTGTGTCCTAGCACCCTGTGATGCTGAAACCCAAACCTTTGCCAAATGTCACTCCTCATTCTTCCCTTGCTAGTCTCTTCCTCTCATTGTAACACCCACTTCAAGCCCTGGGTATCTATGCGCTGTGCCCAGGATTCTCTCTCAACCTGACACTTGAAGTCAGTCAAGGCGACACACGCGCCGGAACCGTCCATCCTGATTCTCTCTTGTGAGTCTAGATGTGTTTGTATGTTTGCCACATCCTAGTCACCTCCTCTTCTCTTCCTGCCGGACCCAGATTCCTTGAAGGCCTTTCCTGCAGTCTTGAAATCTCTTCCCCGTTGCTTATCTGTCTACCTTGCCCATGTCCCTTCTAAGAGGCTGGTCTTTATCGTGCCCGTAAATTTCCAAGATTCCTAAAAGTACTAGAAAAAAAAAAGCAGATCTCATGAAGCAGGCGGCAGATGCTATGAGCTGTCTAGAATCTACCCACTGAAAACATGTGGAAGAGATTTTACAGTAGGACGGTTGACCTATTCAGGATACTTCCAAGAACAATGCATAGGGGACCCGTGCCACTTGCTGGAATGGACTAGGAAGACCAAGTGAGCAATGGGTCTGCTGTTCCTTAGAGTTTCCTCTTCGCAGCTGCTGACACGAGGGCCGCAGCATCAGCCTGCTCTGTTGCTTCTCTGGGTCACTGAAGTGGAGAGAAATCAACTTTCATTTGCAAAGCTGCTTGTTACGTTTTCGGCGTTCTGCAGCTTTCTCTCTCTCACCCCTCCTGGTCTGGAGTTTCTTGCTTTCATTTTTATGCCCTAGGCTAGATTATCAAAGGCTGGACTGGAATTTTCCATGGTAACTCCAATGCAAACTACGAGGAGCATTTTGACGTGCTGTTAGGATCACTGTTGGTTGTTGTTTCTTTGCTCCATTTGTTAGAATAGTGGAACTTCTGTGACTGTACACCCGGCACGGATAAGCCTCTCTCTAGTCTTTCCTTTCTCAGCCTTCCCAATCCCAGAATGATGTGGCCACTGGACACGCCTATGAATATGCGGTCCTTCAAATCCTCGGCTCCCTTCTCTACAAAAGCAATATCCAAATGATTACTTCAGAGAGAATTCTTTCCAAATCCCCACAAAGTAGTATACTATCCACAAGGTTTATGGAGTAATTTAGAAACACAGCTCTTCCTTGTCTCCTATTTCTACTTTCTCCATATTCAAGTTCAGTTTCTCTCATGCCCAGCTGGAACTGAGTCTCCAGTTCAGGCTGCTTAGCCTGATGGCTTAGGACCCAGGTGACTGAATGACCAGGAGATGTCTCTAACATTCTGGTGTTCCTTAATCTGAGCGCAGGGTCTTGGTTGCCTCCATGACCCCACCATGCCTTCTGTGCCTTCGGGGGGAATGAAACAGTTATATCCTCAGACATGGTTGAGAGGTTCAAACCCAAACCTTGTGTGTCGTACTAATTTGCGAAGTCATCCAAACAAATTGTTTATGTGATTTGCCAGGGCCACTGTAACTCGTACAAATCTGTATTCCGTCCTCAATGTATAAGAAAAGCACTTTTTTTTTTAAAGTGTGCTGATTAAAGGTCATGATGTTTTAGCGTGTTTACATAAAGGGAGATTAAGCCTGGATAAAGGCTTCTCTGAACACTGTGGAGACGTGTGTGTTGTCATGTCACACCGCTCATCCTAAATTCTGCTTTAAAATATTGAAGCCACTCCATCATGTTATGAAATATTAAAATCAAACATGAAGGTTCCACATCATAAATTATGTCAGCGAATTTGGGGTTGAAGAATGCAGGTCGCTGGAAGTACAGTAGAGGCCAGGGTGATGAACCCGGCTGTCACATTTACGAAGGTTCTATGGAAAACAGTCCTTCTTGTGTCTGGAACTCCTACGGCCTTTCATTCCCAGGAGGATAGGAACCACTTCCATTCTGTATAATCGGTGTGGTACCCCAGATGATCTGTTAACAACATCTCTGCCTTAGGTGTCTGCTGGGTTGGTCTAGAGTGTTAGAATCAAAGCCTCTGGTGGTTCTGTTACTGCTCTTCAGTGGCAAGGCCTGTCCTCAGAACTGCTGTACCGTGCTATGCCTCTCATCATTTCTGAGCATTATTGTCGGAACCCAACATAAGTAATCTGCTTCTACCAGGGGGTTCGGTACCCGTCTCTCTCAGCCCGAGAGCCGCGGATGCAAATATCTAGCAATGTGGATAGGTACCTGGCCTCTCACTAGGACAGATTGGTACGCCTCAGCCTTCTCTTTCTTTTCTGTGGACTCTCCTGTGCAGGGCTCTTCTCTGGAGATGGAGATCTGTCAGCACAGGCCTTTCATTTATTTACGTAGTTCTTAAAATTTTGTCTACAAAGGGGAAGACAAAAGTCTAAAATTTCTTTCATGGGGCAAAAATAAGCCACAGCAGAGGAGCTCTGTGGTAAACTGAGGTAACAGGATGAGCAGATTTTCATAGAGCCTACGCTTTCTAGTGCTTGCCTGATTAACCTGCTTCTTAACCTCTAGTTATGTTTCCCAATGTGATAATGGACCTGATTTATGTCAAAACCCCTGTGTCTTAATCACGACAATAAGACAGAAAGTCATGGTAACTGTTGTCCTTTCAAGACATTCTTGGCTTTTCAAGGACATCCTGTCTTTAAAGAGGAACCTTTGCAGATAAAAAATGAAAAGAAATTAAATTGAATCACTCTACCTTTTAAAGGAAAGATGGATTTAATGAAGAAAACAAAACTCTCTATAGCTCACATAATTTATGCCAAATACTGTGACCGCTATGCTGGGCTCCCTCCCTCCCAAATGCAGTTCTGATAAACCCCGTCCTGGAGGGCAGTACCCTCTCATAGAAGTAGTAAACCCGGACTGTAAATTATTAATATCTGGTGAGGTATGCAGATGGCAGGACTTGCATTTTTTTTCCCTTGAGCTGTTTTGTGCACGTTTGCTAATCTTGCTTGCAAAAAATATTGCAAAGATAAATATGAACTTTGAAAAGTAACATTCAACAGGATGCGAATGTAAGAAATAGCACACCATGAATAGTAAAGCCCGGCGTGTTCCGCCTCTGCGGAGTGAAATGATTACTGGCTGTTCAGCCTTTACCATCAGCTTCAGGAGGCAGTATCCTTTTTTCATTTATGAACTTCTCATGGGGGGTGATCTAGGTTTTATGATCTGAATGGCATTTTTAGTCAAACCCCTAGTCCTGTAACCTTGACTGTGCCCTGGTCAGGTTGTAAAAAAGTAACCCCCAATCAAGTCATTTTCCAAGGGAAAACCTTCAGGCGGCTGACCTCAACCCTGTGCTAGCCCTTGCCTTGGTGCTCTGAAATGATCTCGTAGGTTCTTAGCCAAGGCAGGGCTTGCCCAAAGTTCCTTCCCACTCTTGCCAGTTTCACCTCGGGATGCTTCGGCAGAATTTCAGCACCCATGCAGACAAGGTCAAATTAAACTGCTTCTGTTACTGCTTCTAGCTCATGAGCCCAGGAGGGCAGCCAATCCCCCAGCCCCAGACCTGCAGCAAGAGAGGGAAACGGATCTGAGCCCTGGTCTGCAGAGAGTAAAAAGCACCCATTTTCTCCGTTATTTACTCCAGGGGCGCCTCTCCTCCCCCATTCCTGGCATCCCTTTATCACTGGCTCCATCTCCTTGTGGCATATTTTCAGGGTAGTAGAATGTTGAGGTCACAGGGAGAGGCTCTTTTTTCAAGCAGTGGAGACACTAGCCTGGAACCCCGAGCATGAACAAGCAAGATACAGAGTCTTATTCTTGACTTTGGGCTCTAGTCTCTGCCCCTGCTTGGGTCTGGCCCTTGTTCCCTCCTCTCTCCTGCCCTCACTAAGCTCCCTAGGTTCTGCAGCATAGGTTGGTTTCCCACGCTTGTGCAGGTCAGACATGGGATGCCAGACACGCAGAAGCTCAGCGGGTGCAGACCCCAGCCCGCAGCTGGGAGAAGGTGCCAATACCAGTTTAAGAAAGAGAGACGAACATTTCACGTGGGCATTTTTGCCTTCGCTCCTGCTTCAGTCTCTGCTCAACGGCAGGCGGCAGGGCCCCTCTGCTCAGACTTATCCCCCCCATCTCCCTGAAGTTAATCAGCTATACTGTACTTGACTGTTCGCTTTAGTTTGGATAATACTTTCAGAACCTCGAACATTCCAGAGAGATGGTCCTCCCCAGAGCCCCCACCCCCTCCTGCCTAGTTCTGCCTGGCCAAGGATGCCCTGTGCTCACAAGGCTGTGGCGTTTGTCTAGAACAGACATCACATTCCCGCTCCTCCCATGCTGTCGCCAAAGTTGCCAGATGCCCCTCGGCGACCAGGTCCTGCCAGATGCAGTTGCGTAACCTCGCCCCCCACCCCCGCCACTGCCCGCCACCGGGTCTGCTCTTGGCTACACCCTCCCGTCCCGGACCCAGGCAAAGCCGGTTTAGGGGCGAGTGTGTGCGCACGAGTCAGGGTCTGCACCCATCTGCCCGCGGTCAAGTGCAGCGGGCTCCGGGGCGCGGGAGGGTATGTTGGGCTCCGCTTACCTTTGGCTGCTTACTGATAAGTGGAGGTCGGTGCAGCGCCTGGCTCGGGCATGTCTTGCCGCGGACCCTGGCAAGCCTGGCGCGGCACGGAGCACTCGGGGCAGAGCATCCACGGCAAAGATCGCCGGGCTCGTGCCGAAGGAGGATCGGCTCCGGAGACTTGGCCAGCTGCGTGCCCGCCGCCCGCCCCCTCCAC